GGTCGGTAAATGGGGGGGGGGTACCATATATATATATATATACATCTATGTATATAGCAAGGAGGAGGAGTAGCAGCAGCAGGAGCAGCTGCGAGCAGCATCAGCGTGGAAAGCAGGGGGCGCGACAGCAACTCTTTCATTCCATCTAATTAAAAGTACACCTAGTGTCATCTGCGCTTTCCAGAATTGGGCCTCGCCTGTAAAGGGCACGTCTCGCCATAAGCGCCGCATCGCCAGGCGCGCAGCTGAGCCGCGCCGTGCGCCATGGGTGGAACTGCAAGGCTGAAGACTGCTTCATGTAGGGCTCTCCTAACGCAGGACCCCCGAATCGCGGGAGGAGAGTGTTAACTTACTTTCCTAGTCTCCAAACCTGGATCTAAACGCCCCAGGCCTCCGGCCTGCGGATATACATACCAAGGTGTTGCGGGAAAGTTTGTGTGAAATTAACTGGGCGCAGTTAGTATGTTTTGCTGGTAGGGGGGAGAGGGGCGGGAAATGCGGAAAGTTTCGGCGAAGCGTTTTTTTCCGGAGTGACACGCAAGACTACCCTTTCCGCATGCTGTTGTTTGACGAGTAAAATTTTCCCGGAATCTTGGGTTCTCGCCAGCCAACAAAGGTTTCTTCAAACAGTTGAACAATTTCCTAATAATTGCAGTTGAGGAAAATGTTCGGTCTGCAGAAACCAACGTTTCCCTGAAACCGTAGTTTCTCGCCAACCAACAATCGCTTTTGGGAAAGATGTTTCCAGCTATTGGACACCCGAGAAGACTTGCATGCACTGCTTATGTGCAAACAAGACACTAGCACGCTTATCTATTATACCGACCCGCAGCTTGCAAGGTGGGGTTAGTACTGCAAAGCTCCCTTCATGGAGTCGTTAAGGCTGAAGCCCTGGATGATGATAAAGTCCGCGAGAAGGAGGCTTTGATTCAGCAGGTGCACGCAGAGCGTTGGACATGGCTTGCTGCAGTAGTGGAACGCCTTTGCATGTTTTTGGTGGATCGCCACAGACGCAGGCAAATGACGTTCTGAAAGAGCGTCGGGGCCACAGCTCAGGGAACCACCTATATAGCATCAAACCTGTCAGCAAGGGCCTCAGAACATTGCTCCGGGCTCTCTGCCAAAATCTCACGCAACCTGAGCCCAGCTGTGAGTGCACGACTCCAATATGGCCAGCTCGCTGGGTGCCTGACTAGATTGGGTCTATACATGATTTAGGGATTCGGGGATGCGACCCGACTCTGCACAAGCTTGAGCCAGCAGGTCCAAGGAAGCATGTCATTTTGCCGTTTATCTCCGTGATGCGGGCAGGCGAGGAAGTTCTAGAAGAAGAAACCAAGAGTCATGGCAGCAGATCATCAGCAGATCAGGCTGCATCTCAAGTTCCCTGCAGTGTCATTACGACGTTGGCGGAATGCTTGCTGCAACACCTCATTCCAGGAAAGCCATCGCCGCATTGCCACCGCAGGTCCGGTACTTCAATGAACGGCGTTTAGGCTTGAGTTCTTTGTCCAAGCAGCGTCAGCGCAGGTGGTGTGTGAGGCTGGGCAACTTGCTTGAAGTGTTCCACGAGCGTGTGGATTGAATGCTATCTCTCCGCTCGTTCTAGCAAGAACACATGGGCCTTCAACAAAATGTTTACGCAATATTTTCAGCTCTGTGCTAGCATCATGAACATGTCATATTTCTGTTCAGCAAAGTTATGCGATGCGCAATGATTTTTACTTTGCTGCTATGATTACTGTGCACATCCTGACCGGGGTGCCACTGCCACATGCGGCGCATTGTTTGTATAAGGCAGCGGGCAGAGCACCCACAGAAAGCAAGACCCGCCAGCAGTCATGTGAAAATGTTGTCGAAACCCTTTGCAAAGGGATTCGCATCTGTCGTCACAGATCCAGAAGAACAAGCCTCAGGTTGCTTGAGATCATGGAGCCATGGAGATTCACAAGGTACAAGACCAACCCTTCGCAGTTCCTGTGACACGACGTTCGCCAGAGTGGGGCTGGTTGGAGTATTTGCTCCATGCAAGCTGCAACTTGGTTGTTCTGGAAGCATCCCTGCTGCGCTAAAGGCAAACCTGTCGTGATTGCCTGAAGGCAGTACTTATAGGTTGCGCCTCCGCTCGGCGTGGTCAGTGGCCAACAAGCGCCTCAATGTGGAGTTCGAATCACGTTGCAAAGGGCACCTTGGTTCTGCTAGGGCGTGTGGCGGCTCTGAAGCGGACAAAGCTTGACTCACAGCTTGACAGCCCAGGCTTTTGCAACTACATGCGTGGCTACCTGTTGCTGAAATTCCATTTGGGCAGACAGTGGAGGCAAGCTAGTGCCTTGAAGTTGGAAGTTGTGCTGGAACTGGCAGCCGTGTACGGTGCTGGCACGCAGTTCATAGGACATCTGCCGAAATGGTTTCAAAGCCGGCCACACAGGGGCACCTTGGCAAAAAGGCTATGTTCGGGCGCTGAGAGGCATGGGCCTTCATTTTTGTGAGCTGTGATGTACGTAGGGAGAAGGGGACGGGGGTTGAGCATTGCTTTGCTCGAGGTATCATTCCATGTTGGCAACCTGCAGCTTCCAAGGCCACAAGTTTTCTTGAGTCTGTAGAGGCTTTCAGCAGTAGATTCCAGCTGTCACAGAAACATGGTCAGAAATGTAAAGCAGAGCTTCTTGCTCCTGCAGTCTCTATAGTGATGGTCGCGACCGGGGCGGCAATGACCGCGGCCACGGTGTGAAGAGCCGTGGGAGGCAGCGGGCACGATTGCGAAGCGTTTGTCCTGCAGTTTCCTGAGTCAGCAAACTGTGAGCGGGAAGTCAGCGTTTCCAGAGGAATGGGAGCAAGGCTATTGCTGAAGCCTTCCTCCAACCTGACATATGTGACATTAACCCAACTTGACAATGAAGAGCAGGTCGCTCCCTGCGGGACGTCGACTGTATGCGTCTGGGGCAGCAGAAGCACATACACAGACGTCATCCATCAAGGTCCAGCCTGTGCTGCATGCGGGTCTCAGCAAGCGTCCGCAAGTTATATGCCTCTGGGCCAGCGCTCAGTTCTCAAGAAGCTAGCAAGCCCAGGAATTCTTGCTGTGTCGCATTGGTGCTGGACGTTCTTATCTTATTGACAACCCTTCGCATGCAGAATCTTGGCAGCACTATTTCTGAGGGGAGGTTTCTAGGATTGATAAGTGCTGCGCAGATTCAAGGAGACGTTGGCGTTGCCCCCCGAGTACGACAGCTTCTTTGTGCGGCACAACCCGGCAAACGAGCAGGTGATTCACGAGGAGTTTCCCGGTGTACTGCCCAGGCATGTTCTGCATCATGAGCTACTTGCATGCAAAATGACACAGCTTTAGACATTGCAGGCTCCTTGTGACTGCGCTGTGTTTGAGGTACATGGTCAGGGACCCTGCTCAGGCACGCAAGTGTTGACATACTAGAACACCTCTGCCTACGTGCGACTAAGCAACGCACATTGACAGGCACTTCCTGTGTACTTGGTGCACTTTGAATTCGATCCAGAGATGCCCGAGCTGCTCAACCTGCCTCTGTGTGACAGCTGCGGCTTGCAAGCAGCATTGGTGACTTTGCTGCAACTTATGCTTGAGCATGCCTCGCTCATAGAAGTCTGAAGAAGCGTAGACTCTTGCGGACCTGAGGTCTACTGCGAAGCTGATGATGCTATCCTGTGCCGACCATGTGATAGTCGGATACACTCTGCGAATAAGCTGGCTTCACGGCACATCCGTGTTGAAATCAATCGGCGTGCCAATGCACCCTTGGGGGGTTGTCCAGATCACGTGGGAACAGAAGCTGACATGTACTGCACGGAGGCTCATCTTACATTCAGGCAGCCATGAGCAGAATGAACCCAGATGACCCCCTTTGCCCAGCTCCGTGTATTTGTCAAGGAATGCAAAGTTCCAGTGTGCCAACACTGTCGAAAGCTTGGTAGCCACAGCGCAGGCCGGTCATGGCACCTCATTCGAGACTGCAACTGGAAGTATGCCAAAAGCGAAAGTCACCGGGAAGAGGTACAGACCGAAATATTATTACAGCCGGTCGACCGGCACACCCTAAAAACAAAAAACGCTTCATCCCTTTAGCAAGGAATGTAAGCCCTTGTCGATTTTGGCTTCTACGTCTTAGCTTCCAAAGAGGGGGGCTAAATGCCAGTACACCCGAACCCTTAAAAGTTCGAAAAATATTGAAAAAGATCCCAACTTGCTCTGAATTTTGACATCCTACAATGCCCGAGTCCCAGCAACGAAGCGACCTGCGCATTCAAAACTTCAGACGCCTCATTCCTCAAAGCCATCGAAATCCTACAGATGCAGCTACGCCCTACACTCCGCAAACAAATCTACAAAACCAGAACCCAAAGCCTTCAAACTAGACCTCGACCCAAAAATCTTCACAAGTCAGACGGAAATGTGCGCACGGTTAACATCCAGACCCAGCGTGGCAATAAGCCTTGGCAGTCCTTCATCCTGATGTTTTTTGGTTTTCATGATGGGTCCGCTCAGTTCCCTCGCTCCATCGTGATCAGCTGCGGGCTTGTGCAGGAGAAGCCAAGAAGCACCGTCTGGTCGGTCTTCGGGAAGCCTATCAGCATGCGCTAAAGGCCAAAGTCTGAAGGAAATTCGAAATGATGCTTCTTCATGCGCTGACATTCCGAAATTCCGAAAGTTGGGCAAGGCAAGCTCAGTGACGGCGAATGGCGTTCTTACAGAACGCCAGCGGGTGGAATCCCAGCAGGCAAGTGGCTGAGCTTCTCCGCATTCTGATATTATCCAAATCTCGCGTTTGCTGCAGGTTGCTGAACTGGACAAGCGTCTGGTGACAGTACAGGAGTCCACCCAAGCTTTGGAAGATGGGATCTATGATCAGGTGCAGTAGCTGGGCTGGAAATTTGAGCAAAAACACATGTACATGCTGTGGTGGAACTAAGTCTAAGGCTTGCTGTCAAGCAGGGCCAGGCCCTGGCAGAGGAACAAGCTTCCCTCTTCATGGCTGTCGTCCGGCTCAACTCCGCACAATTTGTGTTCTCGCGTGCCATGTTAAAAACCTTTAACTAATGATTCACAAGGATGAGTTGGAAGCCAAGCGGCAGCTGGACCAGGCGGCCTGGATGGTGCCCTGGCAGCCAAATCAGCCCAATTACTAGAATCCACCGAGCATGCAGTCATCGCGTGGAGGGGGGCACCATCAGCTGTTGCTGATCTGCTGCACTTGCTTAGCAAGGATTCCTTCCTTGAAGATCATGTGAAGAACCTGCCGCCACCCGACTTTCTGGAAGCGTGGTTACAGCATGCCAAGGCCATTCGCAAGCATCCAGCTTCTCATAAGTCTTGCTCCTACGTGTAGCATCTAGCGGCACGGAGGTGAACCTGAGTCTTCTTTTGTACGCCATTTTGTGCTAAAGTGCTTAGCTTGCGTGCTAGCCAGGTCCGGCAGGAGGTCAACCAGCTAGGCCTGCTTCCTTGCTGTCCGTTGAAGGATTCTTTGGAAGCTTTGCATGGTAGTGCATGGCAGCAGCTAGGCTCCAAAGGGGGTGAATTGCACAATTGCACAAGTGCTTCGTGGTCAGTGCTGTGGGATGTTGAAGCCAGACAGAGCTTCTGTGCAGGGCGGCTGCCAGAGCAACGGGGTAGTGCGACACTACGCCTGGAAGGGGGCCTGCGACTTGTGGCTGACACCGCAGAGGCGAATGTTTCTTGAAAAGCTGGTAAACCCTCTCTAACTTCGGTTGCAGCTAAAGGCATCGTGGTCACGCCGTGCTGGGGATGCTTCAGGCCGGTGCTCATCCCTCGTTTATGTTGGGACTTCATTTGGCCTAGGTGGAGTTTCCAGCTCCATGACGAGGATTGGTGGGTCAGGCGACGGCAAGACAAAGGCAAAGTTCCTCCTGGATGGATGAGCAGATGACTACGGCGTGGACCTGGCGGCCTCACAGTTAGTCATCTGATTCGGCGCGAAGCTATAGCATTGCCGAAGGCAAGCTATACTCAGCCAAATCCTTGGAAAACCTTGAGATGTTAATGTATTGGGGATGTATCCTCTCCAGCAAAAAGGTGCTTGAGACTACTGGCATGGTTGCTTTGGGTGACCTGTGCCGCTGTTCGATTGGCGTTGTTTGCAGCAGCTTCGGTGGGCTAGGTTTGCGGCACGTCATACGAGGGCGACGCGGGGAACGCTGTCCATCAGAAGACTCCTCCTTAAAGTCTGGCTTAGCGATATTTGCGATGGTGCTTCCCTTCCATGCTCTCCTATGAAGCCTGGCCCATGTCGCAAGGTTTAGGATACACGAAGCCTACACGCTAGCTCGTACCTGAGACGTTCCTAAGACTGCTTTTTGCACAGGGGCATGCAACGCATTTCGACACGGGCCTTTCAGGTGCGGCAGCGGATGGCCGAATTGAAGCCACGGGTGGAGGAGCTGGAGCCTAAACATATTCCGGTACACACGTTCGCAAGACTTCAGACTGCAAGTTCATGATGGCAAGGTGGGATAAGGCTCAGAAAGCAAAAAAGGGTGAGGAGGACTTCAGTCAGCATGGCTGACATAAGGTTGATTTGAGCATGCAAAAATCAAGCTTCCAATTGGCCCGGAATCTCAGCAGGAGGGAAAAAAGAAGGACAAAAACAACGGCGGGGCTGATTGCACAGAAGAAAGTGACTGCAGAGCATGATTGCCACTTGCCGCTCATTAATGGCCGGGCCCGGGAGGCAAACACGTCAGAAGCAAGAGCCGGACCAGAGACAAGGACATGACCGATTCACCATGGGACTTAAGGCATGATCCATTTTGTCTGATATGTTGGCTGATGTTTGTGCACAGACACGAGGACCTTGCTTGCAGCTTCATGCCTCAAAAAGGGTTAATGGCGCATGAGAGGCGCCTTCATCTGCATTTTGCAACAAGTGGCTGCAGCAACATCAACACCTACAGATGGGCCGGCGCTGTTTGCGTAGTTGGAGTTGGCGAGGACTGCTGTTGAAACGGAGTTTTATGTTTCTTGTAGACCCAGCCTGAGTGAGAGCTGCAAAGAGTTGCAAAGCAGCAAAATCGAAGCAAGCGCACAAGCCTCAGCGCCCTGAAGTGCATCATCCTATCCACACACGTGGCCATGGCCAAGTGTTCCACCTGCTGGCAACATGGCACATGCCATGGGACGACATCTCCAGGCCTGGCCTGCAGAACGCACTCCGCTTTGCAGCCTGCGTGCAGCCAAGGACCGCAGCTGTCCAGTGTTCTCGATGCAAGCTTTGCCGGACATCGCCAAAGACTGCCAATGCCACGAGAGCATGCCCTACTGCTTTCAGGAGACGTTCACAGCGATTTGCATGTTAGCTGTTTACCGCGTTCACACTCTTGGTCAGAGGCACACGGGTAAGCAAGACAGGATGCCCGCGCAGATTCGCATGAGAGTGGAAACTATGAACGTAAACAAACTGATGGCAAAGTGATGCTGCTTGACCTCATCATTCACAAGCCGTGCCCGGATGTGGTAAACAAGGCCAGCGGCCATTTTCCCATGGCCGCATCCAACATTCCAGCTAGAACAAATAAACGTTTGGCCAAGTCTTGAGAACACGCGTTTGCAAGCAAGTGACACTAAGCATTCGAAAATCTGTCGTGTTATGGGCTGCCAACGCAAGGCTACATCTCGGAGTCACAAACAAAAGTCATAATGAATGGACATGGAAAGGACGGCCGTCAAATGTGTTATCGGTCCGATGGCAGATTAGACCTGCACTACTTTGCTGCATCTCGGTTTTGGAAACTAGCTGAGAAGCGGCCTTGTTCGTACAGTGCCGTCTTGGTGGGGGTTTAAGCCTAGGTAGACTGCAAGACTTGCCTTTGTCAAGAGTCTCAAGATGCTGGGAGTGGCAGCACATCCGTTGCGGGCAGCTGGGCTTTACAGTGCGCAGCTGGAAAGGTTATTCCTCCATCTTCACCAGGCTCCTCTGCTGCTCCTTTCAGGTCCCTCCGAGATCACCTGTTCGACAGCTGACGGAGCAGATAGCCTGCTTCTGGCACCTGATGCCTCAGGCAGAGACCAGGAACAAGCCCTAGCATTCAAGTGATGAAGGCATGATGGCTTGAGGCAATTGCTTTTGTCCAGACGAGCGACCACTGTGTGTAACCCTTCCGGGTGAATCACTGGGATGCCTCTCAGGCCTGGCTTGAGCTTACTAGATTCGTGAATGTATTTACACGTGCGGCCTTTTAGGGAGTGGGTCAACGCGCAGGCAATGTGCAGTCTTCAACTGCTTTCGCATCGGCGTTTCCGGCAGGCGTACGGTTTTGCAGGACATGACGCGTGGCCGCCATCATGACGTTTGGCGGATTCTTGCAGGGTTTGGACCATGCACAGGCTGTGCAGCCGACAGCTGCTCTTGTCGTGCAGCGTGTCCCTCGTTTGCGCGTCGGTCCTATGCCGACAGAATTGGAGATTGCCTTTGCCCTGCTGATGCGGCTCTATGCTTTCTGGCTGTCCTTGGCAGTTGTTTCCCTCAGGCAGCAGAGCTCGAATTACGTCTCCATGTAGCGCTGAGGTTATGAAGACGGGACTGCAGGCTGTTCAACCTCTTCCGGGCAGACTTCATGGACATACTTTTCAAGCAGTTGTGGTGCGCCACTGGGGGTTCAATCTGCATGTCTCACATTGTCTCAGAGTCTAAGTCCGATTCATATTGGAGACAAGTCAGCTCTGCAAACCAAGCCGGCCCCTCTCACATGCTTCAACTGCCCTCCTTACCCGTGCAGGTTCTCGATGTGAATGCGTCCAGCAACTTGAAGGTCAATGCGACCCCAGGAGCCGGGGAGCGTTTTGACATAAGCTCTCCAGGAAACCGTCTTTGACATGAGGGGTTGGGTGTGTTTGTCAGGAGCTGCTTGGAGACTGCCGACTGCATTTTCTCTACCTGCCGAGATTGCGAAGTATGCAAAGGAATCACCAGGCAAGCTGAAACAAGCATGGAAGAAGCGTCAATCCTGTAGAATTAGCCTGCTGCAGCTAAGGTGCCCCACATCACCCGGCGATAACAGCATAACTTTGCCCGATTGGAGTGGCAACTGCAAGTGCAAGGACCAGCAGGCTATCCGCTTGAATTTCTCGCAAGCCACTGAGAAGGAATTCGTCTACATTAATCGACTTTCTCTGAACCACTAGCGTTGCGCAGCCGATCTGCAAAAACGATCGCAGAAAAAAGTTATCAGCTATTTTGTGGTTACTTTTAGCAGAGCAGCCCCATTCACACGAAGTGGAACTGCTCACCTCAGAGGTCTTCATGAGAAGTGCACTGCCCAGACCGTCCTGCAGGTGTGCTATGAGGGCGGCAGTATTACTCCTGGTTGTCCGGTCGCCCCAGCTGGTCGCTCGCAATTCTCCTTCCAGATTAGCTGCATGGACTGTGCCTTGTCTTGGATGGCACTCAATTCCTGACACGCGCAACACATAGTCGCTATAGTATTCACAATCCCCAATCGAACGGATTGGTGGTGACGTGAGGCAGCTGGTTCGGGAGCTGTGTAGTTGAGGTATCTGTGACAAACTGACATCCTCCGCCGGGACGGGCAGCGTCAAGTGCCCAAAATTTGCCCGGGACAACCTTCCTGGCTTGTCCGGTGATTGCGTGTGTCCTGATGATGCGCCTGACTGCCTCTTGGCGCGCAATGAGAAGTGCTGAAAAGATGCCAGATCTCAAGTCTTGGAGCAAAGAACTAGGTGGAAAACGAGGAGAAGGTAATCCCAGAATTTAGGGACACGTTCCCGATTCTTTGGCTTTTTCTTTTGATGTCTTGTGGCAGTCTATTCCTTGCTGCGGAAGGCTACAAAGATGGAATTCGATGGTGCTTCAGGTCGCTGTGCAGCTAGCGCATGCTTGCTGGTGTTCTGCCTCTTCCTGGCACAGCGGAATAACAAGCTTGCAGGACAGATGGCCAGCGGGATCTCCACTACTTTGATCCAGGCTGCTTGGACTGCGAGTGCCGAGCAGCACTCAGCGTAAACGGAACCGTTGAGCAGGCGTGCGAGTGTTGAGACGCAGATGCACTTGAAGAAGGGCAAGCCAGGGCCAGCACCTCTGCCAACTTGAGCAGGTCCACCCATGTCCAGACTTCGCTAAGTTCACATCTTCAAACTCGCACCTTTCTTGCATTCTGCGCGGGGCAGACTAGCAGCAGTCCTCTCTCTCAAATTGTCAGACGCCATTCCGTGTAGGTATCAGAATTGTGTTTGCCCGGACGACCGGCCTGTCTGCATCCAGCAAGATGGCACGCCGATTGGGTCAGCTGAATCGCGAGTTGGGCCATATTGCCGAACAGCACAGGCCAGGCTGCATAAGCGCAACTGCTATGAGGTGTTGCTTGTTGCCTTTCGAATCCGGCAGTTGCTTGACTCGCAGGGCTGGGACTCCTCTGTCGAGTTCCGACATGACTGTACCACGTGCAGTTGCTTGGAGGGTGCCGGAGAAGGCTCTAATCTGCGTGGGTTTACTGCAGAGGACGGTGTGAGGGCTGGGGATGGCATTCAGCAATTTCTGCCTGACGCAAGCTTCGAGATGATTGGCATCCTGAGGAGCAGCTCAATGCCGATGGGGTCAATTACATACGCCTGGAACTCGTGATCGACCTGAGCTTGGCTACTGCCTCAGCATGACTCAGCACCCTCGTTCCTGCTACTAGGAGGTATTGCTCGAACCACGCACGCGCCAACACCAGCTTTGGCTCAGCGAGGTGTCCTGTGTGCGTTTTGTTGCAGGTCAATACCTTGAACTCCTTGAGCGAGTGGACCTTGGTGGTGGATGAAGTGTTGTTGACGGCAGCTGCCAGGCTTTGAGCATCACTGTCAAGTGAGAGCTTTAATGAGTAGATCGCAGCAACAACTCCAAACATTTTCGCCCATTATGGTGCAAAGGCAGGCCGTGGCTGCATCTGCAGCACATGGCCTCGCCCGGGCAGATGCACCAGTTGTTGGTTTCTTTGCAGCAGAGGGGTCCACTAGATTCCCACACTTCCAAAAGCAGGATGCTGGCAGCTACTTTTTTGATCTTTTTTGGTTCCCGTAGGGCTTAGATGGTTTGTGTGCATTCACTTCTTTTTCCTCGGCCAGGTTACTGCAAAGAGCTCAATGGCGTGGAGGGCAGGATCTCACTCGCGGACTTTTCAGGCGTGTGCATTTCGTACTAGTCCTGTGAGGACAATCAGCGGAGGAGATTTCGAGGATGTCCGGGTGCAGCGTTTGTATGCAGAAGTCGGCCTCGTGTGGGCAAAGATCATAACAAATGGGACAGGCACGCGCTCCTGAGATGGCATGTCAAACTTGAACAGCCATGGTACGAAGCCTTGGCAACTGTTGCAGGCCGGCTGCTGGCCGAAGCAGAAGCTCAGGCCGTAAGAGCCAATACTGCGCATGCTCCTAATAATCCTGAGCTGAGGGCTTCCGTGTGCTGCAGACCCTTCGGGCCAAGACATTGGGGGAGCTGAACGTGCATGAGCGTGAGCTACTGCTGCAGCCCGGTGGCAGAGCACAGGAATGCACAGCTGACATTTAAGATTTGGTGCTGCAGGAGCTTGAGCACGGCCTTCCGCCCAGGGCGTTTCAAGCAGAACTTGGATTTGGAGCTTCAGCGCATGCTCAATGATACTGCCAGCTGGCACTCCTCACCAGGTGCGCCCAGCCTTCTTTGTGAACTCCGCAGTCCACATAGCCGATGAGCAATGCAGAGCCTGCAAGCCTTTGCCCTTACTAGCCGGGAAAAATTCTCAAGCTGGACCTAAGTCGAAACCAAAACTCAAAAAGAGCTTCGTTCTCGCACCAGGCAACATTTTGGCGCAGTGCTCATGAATTCGCAAGCAATTTAAGCAGGTTTCTTTGAACACCATTGGTGAGGGGAACATGCAGAACAAGAAGAAGGAAACCAAACACGTTTCAAATGAAGCTGCAGATGATGAAATGAAAAATGTGACTTCACGAAAGTATAGAGCAAACTCCTTCAACCCTGTTTGAGAAACACCACACCGAAAAATATTTAGGCACAAAGCACTCAAGCGAAAAGAATTCCCACCTGAGCGAGCGACATAAAACAGAGACATCACGACATGCAGTAGACAGAATAAGCATCAAAGAAAAGTATGACAAATAAAATCGAGCCCCGACCAGAAATGAAGCAGATGCTTGCTTTGCATGCTCATCCGTTACAGTTACAGCTTCATTGGCATAACGATGGGCAGAAGCGTGCCTCCACAGGGGGTTGAGATTCCACATGGCCAAGGCACCTGGACCCTGTGGCAGAGGGAACAATGTAATTGGGATCCGATGAGCAGAACTGGATCATCATTATATTTCAGAGGAGATGTTGGGCGCGCGCTGGCACCAATGTGCAGCTACTGTGCGACCGGACTCAGTGAAACCGCGCTGTGCTGGAGCACCAAGGCGAACATTTGTGTCCAGGTGTCACGCAAAGAGGGGGCCACATGCAAAAAGTGAATGGTAGAATCAGCCCATGAGGCAATCACCACTGAATATGCTGCCCATTGTCAGGTACATGTTGGGCAGCACGTTGTATTTGGGTAGTTGCATCTCCCCAGCATGTTGTCAAATGATGTCAAATGCATGTGCCTCGCAGATGATGTCACATACACATGCCTGAGCAGTTGTTCGGGTGGCAGGTCTTATCCAGGCACCACGCGTGTCTGTGAGCAGGGCAGCGCCGACGACACTGTCAGAGCTATCCTCAAGCCCACCGCTTTCTGTCCTTGGCCCATTGGCTCCTACTGCTCCGAGCACAAGGAATCTGAAGGCAGCAAGCGTGCTTCACTACTTCGTCTTAGCAAGTTATTTGCTGGCAAAAGGAGAAATCAATGTGTGCAGACTGTGCCAGGCACCTGTGGAAACTGTTGAGACCACGACACTGATTGCTAACGGGGTCCCTGATTCCTCCGGCGAATTCGACTTGCTGTCGCTTCTGCCGGCCGGCATCGCAGTTATTTCGTCGCTAGTGGGGATCTTTCTGGTATATTGCTCCGTCAAGTGGATGCGCGGCTGCCTCCGTCGGCGCCGGGAAAGACGTGCTGAGCAAGATGGTCACAGTCAGGGTGGCTCACCAAGGTCCGCCAGGTCATCCCCAAGATCACCCAGATCACCCAGGCATGCTGGCTCACCAAGACATGCGCCTTCTCAAGATGCATTGACAGCAACCTCCAGCGTCAGCACCATGAAAGTCAAGCGGATGGGGACAGCTTCCACTGACCTGCGCAAGGGCACTTCTTCAGTTTTCGACAAGCCCAAGCCCACGGAGGCTGAGGTGACCTTGGCTGATCGGCAAAGAGCTGGGCAAAAATCAGTAAGCGCAGCAGCCAGGACCGCCCTGGGCGGAGCACTTGAGACAGATGGTGATGATGGTAGCCCACGGCAGAAGAAGGGTGGCCTCATGGGGCGTTTTCGCCGCGGCAAGGACAAAGGCTCGAGTCCAAATCAATCTCCGCGGAGTGGATCTCCGAGGTCCCCTCGGTCTCCAAGATAAGCTCCCTGTGTAACACACGCACGAAAAGGAGCCAGAGAGCTCCTGGAGCCGAAAAGCCTTCCCAGTTTGCGGCCACTTGGGCGTGAAGCGATAGGTGTCTGCGCAAACGCCCAAGTCAACGCCTCGCACTCGCGTGCTTTGCGGCAAAGCCGCAGCCAGCCAAAAGAAAAAGACGCAGCAGTTAATCAAGCTCCAAGTGCGAAGAGCTGCAACATCCACGCCTCAAGACATAGGAAGTATGATTGACCGCGATGTACTGCAAGGACAGGGGAAAAGATCGCTCGAGGCGCAGAGAAAGCAGAAGCCTTGAGCTTACCTACCCAGCGTTTCCATCACGTCATGAGTGACCAGGAAGGACTAGGTGGCTTCTGGGGCATGAGCGCATGCATGCATGTGCAGGCCGCTCACGCAATCGAGGCAGCAGCAGGAGGCAAGCTCATTACAGCACACTTGCAGGAATGCAGATGCATGTTGCATCATGATGCAAGGAAACGCCGGGAGAGCAAGAGTTACAGCCGGGGTCCGGCTCCGAGTCGTAAAGGCCGTGCCGCAATCTACTCAGCAGAGGTAACATCTTGAATCATAGCTTGGCCTCACGTGTTCCGCCGATATCTGGCTCTCAGCTTCATATCTCTTCGCATGGCGCGTCTGGGCCAATGCAGCCCGTGTAGCTGCCACCGGCCCAGCTGCTCCGTATCCCTGCAGCTCCTGCAGCACACGCAGCAGCCTGCCCACCAAGGCTGGGGCCTCTTCAGCGCAGAGCCGCGAAGGAGCCCAAACCAAGCTCGCACAAGCTTCGCCCCTAGAAACTGCCGCATCGCTTCCCTGGAGAGGCAGAGAACTGGGATGTCTAGTTCCAGTGCTTTGATTTTCTTGCATGGCAGCGGGGACACCGGCGAGGGTGTCCAGGCGGATCCAGAGGGGTAACGTCTCTGTAGAACGGGTGAAGGGCGTTGTCAGGCATGGTTGCATGCCGTCAGTGGAGGAGCTTTCGAGTCATGTCCTCAGCTCTTTCAAGCAGAGATGAGTTGAAAGCTGCCTTCAACTTGGCTCCCAGGGCCAGTCTTGCACGAGAAGGCATCTCCATGCTTTTCCCGACGGCTACGATGATACCTTATAGAGACTCGACCGGTCAGGAAGGATCGCTGTAAAGGTTGAGTCTTCAATGCAGGGTGCGCGCATTTGCTCACAGTTCAGTCCAAGCTCAGGCCTTATCGGCGGAATGCCACGGACAGTATGGCCTTACACATAGAGTCCATGCAGCCCTGGTGCATGGCCAGCACTTGTCGTGCGTTCAGCCATTCGCCTGAACGTTCAGGTTTGATCGAGTGGCCATGGCGTACGAAGCGCCCGAAGATGTTGCTGGCTTAAAGAGGTGCATTTGGGAGCTGGGACGAGGGGTGGCAAGCGAGCAAGAAGGTAACTTGCTGCTGCAAATCGCCAGGTCCGTGGAGCTGGTAGACAAAGAAATTGCATCTTGTCTCATTCCTGTAGAAGTGACATTCAGATCAGCAATTGCCGCCTAGTTACTAGTTTGCCGACGCCATGCTAAGGACAAGTTAGTGGAGTCTGGCATTCCGCTCTCCAAAATCGGTCTCTCGCTAAGTGCTTTCCAGCGCTTTTCGTTTCCTGGACCCATACATGCGCGCATGCATGCATACAGACATACATACATGCATGCATATGTACGTACATACATACATACATACATACATACATCAACATGCATAACATGCCCCGTGGAAGAAGACACGGCGAAAGCAGCGAAAGCTGCATCAACTCCTGAATCTTGGCATTTGACAGGGGTTGGCGGCATGTCCATGGGAGGCTGCGTGGTTCAGCACTTAGGTGATGGGGTGAGTTGGGAAGCTTGTGAACCACAATGAGCTCACACCAGCTGGGCCAAGGCTCTGCACGTCGCCTATGGCATGGGTCGCCATGCTGGCAGGTGTGTGCTACAAGCTGGACAGATGATGCAGGCTCTGTGACATTGCTATCTGAGGCTGGGAATGGTCGCCAGCTTAAGCACCTTCTTGCCCAAAGAGAGTTGTCGGGCACACAGCCTGAGAAGGAGACTTGTAAAGCATGTTCTTGATAGTTGGTATCCAAGCGCATGCTGGACTCAGATTTCGATGCGGATGCAAGTCGCCGCTTAACCGCCTCACAGACGGCACCGCTTTTCATGGCACACGGCCCGTGCCTCTGCCTGCAAGCGGCTTCTGCCAAGAGATGGCACATGCTTGCTGCCACAACACATGCTGCCAAGCTTAGGCCAAGACGATGGTGCGCACCTGTACGTCATATTTTGTGAAGCTTTGTGTTTAGCGCACGTGGGATGGGATCGAGGGGCAGCATTTGCCGCTTCCAGGAATGATCCGGATAGAGTGGGCGCGCGCCACCCACAGTCGTTTGCTCGCAGCAGGCATTGATTGCAAGGACAGACCCCAACATCCCATATGCTGCCACGCATGCACGCCTAGTTGTCGCCCTGGCAGTGAAAATCGCGCTTGTTTTTCGGTTACAGGCCATGACCACAGGGCGTGTTTGTTGAAGCTTTGTTGGCCCGAATCTTATCAAGAACAGGAGTTATCAGCCCATGCGTAGAATGCATGCGAGTATGTCGGGAAAGCAGTGCTTCGAAGGAGCTGCTCGAGTTTCCTGGTGTTCAGCACGAGCTCTGTACAGAAGAGGCTCGGTCCTGCTCGATTCCTTCAAGTATGCAAAGCCTCAGAGCTTCTTTGCTTTGGAAGGTTGGCTTGCTCCGCAGCTTCGTGCTGCAGCACTTGGGGAAGGGGAGCTGAACAACTAGTTTCAGATTCAACAGATTGCACATGTTGGGAAAGTTTTGAAGGGGGTACTTTGCTATCACGGAGTTGGGGTCGACCACCTAGCTGCAGAACCAACTACAGTAACTGGCGTGTGTCATGAAGGTAAGGGGCAAAAGTCTGGCTCCTTTCATGTCAATGACTTCAGGAGAGGTCATGCGGCAAGATGCTGCGTGGGTGCCTCTTGAATCACAAAGCTTATGTGCGGGAAAAGTCAGCGGGCCGCCGCAGAGTCTGAGAAAGGCTTCACCGGAGCATGTTCTCGCTTGCAGTTGTCCAAGAAGACCTGATGACCCAGGACGGCGACGGCGGAGGTAGAGGCACTGCCGCAAGGTGCCATCACGCGACATGCTCACTGGCAGTTGTGGGCATAGCAAATAGAGTATACCCACATGTTGCAGGCAGTGCTGACAGCCCGTCTGAGCAGCCGAGCACTCTTTGCGGAACATGTTCCTAAATCCTGGCCAGAATGAGTACTGACAGATTACAACGAAGATTTGATGACAGCAGCAACGACAGCAACAACTCTTGCTACTACATCTACGAAGAAGACGACGACTACGGCTACTACTTGTATTTCTACTACTGCTACTACTACTGCTGCTCTTCCTGCTACTGCAGCTGTTGTGTTGGGGGCCGCCACCGCTGCTGCTACCTGCCAGTGCTACCTATCTTGAACAACATGCTTTGCGTACTGGTATGATTCTTTCTGCTGCTGTTGCTGTTACTTTTTGATTAGCTCCTGCTACTACTTAGTCTTTGTCTTCTTCTGCTACTACTACTACTACTATTATTACTACTACTACTACTACCACTACTACTACTACTACTCCTACTACTACTACTACTACTACTGCTGCTGCTGCTGCTGCTGCCGCTGACATGCTTTCAACGCCAGCTCCTCTTTTTTGCAAGGTCCTTCAATGCACATCTGACCATTTGATGCGCCACACTGCCTTCAGTTCATGCCTGGAATTTTTGCAACCATCAACCAGCATATATATACAGAAGCAGGGTGGGTAGACCAAGACCAAAATGGGTCAGTGAAATAGTGGAAATTTCGAAGAAAGCTTTCGAACTTTGGGATGACCACGGCGAAGTGACCAGACTTGTACAACATCTGGTAGTCTGGCGTCAATCGGTGTACTGGGCCATGTCTGTCTACGAGCAGCCTGGCATATGACTGACTCACAGATTGATTGGGTATTACTTTAAGCTACTAGTACTACTACTAGTTACTAGTACTAACAACAACAACTACTACTACTA